AAAGTAAGAAACTACATATCACTCTTGAAGAAAGGAGGAAAGAAAGAAAGAAAGAAAGAAAGAAAGAAAGAAAAAGGAAGGAAAGGAAGGAAGGAAGGAAGGAAGAAGAAAAGAAAAGAAAGAAGGGAGGATATGAAACGAAGAAGTAATGAAATTATAATAAATGATAGCATAGCTTTATTTTGATTTTTTATTTGAAAGCATTTTTCGATTTAATTCCTAGTGTAATAAACTCCTAAATGTCTATCCAGAGTGGAGATGTTTGCGCAGTTTTGCCAGGTTAGACAGGAAGTTTAGGCAGCACAGAGTGACGAGTGTTCTAACCTGATTCGTGTTGGAAACTGAGTTCCATGGAGAGCTGCTAGACAGCACTAATATCCCGGCTGATGGATAGATGTATTTACAGCTGTCACACACTATCATTTAGCAGAAAATAACACATAAGGCCTCAGGACCTCCCATAAGGCCTCCCAAAAGGGTTTATAAAATGAACATTGGTAAGCAGGAGATTGCCACAGACTCTACATCCAAACTAAATGCTTATCTAAACCTTTCCTTATCGATCATGACATCTGCAATAAGGATATTTTTGCTAACGAAAAGAGAAAATAAATTAAGTTTTTCCTCTTCTGCTTTTCACCATTCGCTAATTAACACAAATCCACCACCAGAAATAATTGCGTTCTACATTCCATATGCTGCTGGCGCACTAGCACCATTGGCCTTATTGTAAGTAACCTGCAAGTGAAAGCACTGTACTACCCTAAAAAGGCCTGTTTAAATATTTCTCTGCCCCTGGAAAACAAAGTATTAAAGATGAGGGAGAGTCCGCATTGCCACCATTTTGTTAGTTAATTAGGACCGAGAGCAGGTCACCGAGGGACAGGGAGAATACGAGTTCTGCAGGACATCAGCTGCTCCATCTTGGCAGATAATGTGTATGTGACTATCTTACCAGTTTAAAGAGCTTATCTCAACCTTTATGACTTAATAATACACCAGCCAAACAGCTAAAAAAAAACACACACACACATATACTTTATAGGAATCGCTTTATCTGACAAAAGACATATTACTCTGATTCCCCTTCCCATACTACACAATGTGACTTTATAAAGTCATTTTTCAAAGGTTCTCCAGACTCAGTGCCTCTACCCTGCCATTGTTTGCTCTTTGGACTAGTGAACACCCTGGCATTGGATACATCCACCCTAAAGCTGGCCATACACTTGTAAATTTTCAAAAGAAGGTTCGTTTGAACTTTCGTACAAAATCCTTAGTACATTCAATGACTTGGCAAATGTTATTAAAAAGTACTTCAAGATTTCATTTGCTTTCAATTCAATTTTGGAATGATTGGAGTTTACCGATAAAAATAACATACACAGTTAGAAATTTGCTCCTTTGAGAAAAATTGTGCAACCTGCTCTGTCAAAAGTTTTCTTCATTGCAGTCAAAAATGTCGATTTGACCCCACACAAATGTTTTTACAAAGTCTACATCTGTCTACCAAAGTACGTTTAAAAATAACATGGTAGACAAATGATTAATTCAAGTTCCCAAAGGGCGCCCACCCCCCTTGGGAGCATGGGACCATGGGAAAACGCTTCCCCAGTGAAAGCAGGAGGTACTTGTGGAACATGCTTTCCCCAATCCCTCCTGCGACTAATGACCCCAGAAGTGATGCTAAAACACAGGGTCACAAATGTAATTTCTGCACTAGTGTAGCTGAGGATTCAGCTTTTCAAACACAAGAGCATGATGTCACAACCCTGCCTCTCCACCTTGTCCAATCAGAGAATGTTTTCCTTCCATCAGAAAATGCAAAACATTCTCTGAATGGCACCCAGTTGAGCAGCCAACCTCCTGTATTTACAATGCATCAAGACAGACATCCGGCACAGGACCCAGAAGCAGGTGGAGATCTCTGGAGTAGTGGGGTCTACTTAAATGACTTCCAGCTACCAGTGGCATTGACCAGGTGTGGTATATCCATAGTTACATTGGTCTAAGCTGGATCAATGTAACTATGCAAATATATACCATACCTGGACGTCTTTAAGCCCTTTCCTCCTGCAGGTCAAACTAATTTCTTTGCCTCTCATTGCTGTTAGATTACAGAGCAGGTACTCCTATTGCAAGCCTGATTTCAGCCCTTATCTGGTGGATGACAAACAACTAAGTGCATATCTCTCAATTTTAGAACTTAGGAGATGGGGACATTCTGGTCAGATGGACAAAAGATGTATCCTTAACTGCAAAACTTGTGTTTGTTTATTTGGATTTGGTCTAAAGGCAAACAGTGCAGTCAACTAGCTAATATCCCTACAACATTCTCAGTCCCCCTTCACAGAGATTCATTATGTCACAATGACCCCCAATTGTCAGTTGTATTATGTTTCTCCAGGCCCCCCACAAATGCTTCATGTCAACTTAGGAGATATAAGTGTAGCACTACCCCCTCAAGGGTCGCTGAGTAATTTTTGGGTTCCCTTTCTTGCCTGCCTCTGCTCTGAAAGCCCAAAGCCCTGCTGATACCACCTTAAAGCTCTAGTTAGAGGAAACCCCTGGCTGCAGCCACAAAATAGACTCACAGACCATTTAGAGTGAACTGATATCTTGGCTGTATTAAGATCAAATGTAATCAAAGTAAAACTACAGAAATGTTTCTGCATAAAAATAATAGCTATCACTCATAATAATTTCAATTAAATGTCAAACACAGCAAAATCTCAATCAGTTCTGGATGTCCTGCAATTCAGAATGTAGCCAGTATCCCCATTCCTAAGATGTCTTTTCCCAGTGAGCAAGAAAAACAACCAAACAGAGCGGCTCTTTGGGTTCTCAGAGGCAGGTGACAGGGTTCAATTCTGAGGCAAAGAAAGAGCTCTTGATTGAATAGGACAATGTCCTTTTAACTGCAGTATAAGATCTTCTGCACACTTGATGGGGCCCGAATTTAGTACACTTTAGGAATTCAAATCTCTCTGAAAGCAAAGAGGAAGTTCCTTAATAAGGGGTGAACACAAAGGAAGGGGGTTTCCCCTTTAAATGGTATGTGACTTGGACGGTACCCCTGCAACACACAATGTAAGATGCAGATTTAGGCAGGGATGAACAAATATGAGCAGCAGCTGTTTCTGTAGGGGTTAACTCTTAGGACCCCAGTGGCAAACTGCAGCAAGGCAGGATCTCTTTGGTGAGTGTGGGACCAACTGTGGTGAAAGCAATGATGCGGATTAGCTTGCGAAGGGCAAGACACAGCAGTGGGCTCCTGTGATTGGAATATGCTGAAGGTATAGTGACCAGTGGGCCAGATGAACTAGGCCTCAACATGTGTAACTTGTGAACAGTGTCAGTTAAACTTAGGCAGAAAGCAGAAGACTTGAGCAATGCCATTGGCAACTTGAATGGCTTGAGAATAGAAATCTCTCACCTGATCTGTGGCATTGGTCAGGTAGTTGATGGTCTCTCTGCAGTTGGGGGCCTCCAGTGTTCCTGTGGTTTCTCCTTCAGAGATCACTCCAGCCCATGGGGCAGCTCACCAGACTCATCAACGGTGTCAGCAGTCAGCAACGCCTCCTTCTCCCTCTCTCTCTCTCCTCCACACCTATCCTCCAGCTCTCACCATCACTTCCTGTCCCGGTTCTGCAGTCAGCCTATGAATCCCTTTGTAACAGGGTCTGTACAATTCGGCTGCAGGACACTGCCATCTTGTGTCTGTAGCACTACCTCTTTAGGAAACACTGAGTTATTTTAGGGCTCACTGTCGCTCTGAACCCCTCTCTGAAAGCCCAACCCCTGCTGACACCACAGTACTCTTATGACTAGAGAAAATTATCACCATAAAATAGTCTCACACACAGATTGGAGTGAACTGATATGATGTTTAGATTAAACTTGGATGTAAGCTCAGTCAAACAGTATAAAGTGGTATATGTGTACATAATGGAAATTACCACTCTTAGTAAATCTACGCAAAGAAAGCAACACATACAGTGAAATCTCAATCAGTGTTGGCAGGCCTGCTGTTCAGAAGTTAATCCAAAACCTCAAACCTGATGTGCTTCTAGTACCCAGTGAGCAAGGAAACTATCAAAAGTGGAACTAGCTCACTTTGGATCCTCACAATCTGATGGCAAGGTTTAAATCTGAAATAGAAAGGAGGTCTTTTATTTAGGGTAGTCAGAGATCCTTTAAATGCAGTGAGGAATCTTCTGCGAGCTCATCGGGGTCCAGTTGGTGCATTACAATGATCCAGATAATTTTTTGTAGAAAGAGATGAAAGTTGCAGTTCCTCAAAAGATTAATACATGTTAACTATATACAATGCTTGCAACTGTGTGCAGGAAAGTGACTGATTGGAAAGGAAAGTCAATACTCACTTGTTTGGCTGGTGTACGGGACTCTGTCACCTGATTGGTGACTTCCAGCAGATTCTCTCACTCTCAGCGGATAAGGGCGCCCAGCTGATCTCCGATCCCCACCACAGCGTTCGGTCTGGCCACAGCATTCTGGGTCACCTGCTGACAGGATGTCTTTTTCTGTCTCACTCTAGGCTGGAAATGCTGGTGGTCAGTGATCCCTCCTGGCTTCTCTCCTGTTTCCCTCTGTGGCCTGGTCTGGTACTCTGTTGGCCCACACAGCTCTCACTCTCTCCACTTCTGCTCTCCAGCTCTCTCCCCTCTCACTTTCTGTTCAGTCTCCCGGGCTTCTGTATATTCTAGTTCACACCCCACACCAGCTCCTCTGGGAAATGTAGTCCTCTGACACTATCCTCTTTAACAAAGTCCTGCAATGCAGCATACAAAGACCACGAGGATTGTTATCCTCCCAGAGTGTGAGTGCTACTGAGCTGAAGAACACTGCCATCCAGGGGCGGACTGACAACTCATGGGGCCCCCGGGCAATAGGGGATCATGGGGCCACTGTGTCTTTGCCCAAACTCAAAAAAGCCTATGAAAAGGTACCAGGGGCATATCACGGGGCCCCCTACTGACCCTGGGCCCTCGGGCAGTGCCCGAGTTTCCAAATAGTCAGTCCGCCCCTGCTGCCATCTTGTGTCTGTTTCAATATCCTGCAACTGACATTGCAGAAGGGTGTTACATGTCCTTTTAACATCATGCAAGCAGGGTGTTACATAAGTAAAATGTTAATTATTTTTACCTTTCCAATGCATGGCTCTTTGAAAATTGTGCCTAGAGGGCAGCAGTACCATACGCTTAGTTATTTCTGTCCAAACACTCTCCACCTCCTGTCACTGCTGTTTTATTAATGGAATCAGTGGTTGAAAATGGTGGCCCCATAGACTATATGTATGCAATGTGTATTCAGTCTAGTGTTAAGATAATAATAACAACTAACACTTAAAGCTAAGTTCAGCCATTTTGTTAGATTTTGGATAAAGTGGGGAAGAGTTAAGACTTTTGTCATGTTTTTTTTTTTGCTGTCTGTGACTACATTTGGAAAAATTACCTTTACTCCCTGTCCTTGTGACTGGGACAGGAAGGCACAGCCAGCAGTAAAAAGGAAAAAATGAGGAGCTACATGACTGGGGCGAGAAGTTGTTTCCATAACAGATTTAAGTATTTGTGTAGAAACCATATGCCTTATCTAATTGGTGGTCAAGGGTTGGGTGGCATGAGGGAGACACAGGGATAGAATCTGCAAGGGTTGCTGGGAATTCATTCCAGGAGGTCAACAAGAAAGAAAGTTGTCCTATACATCCACCCTTGTTTACTGTTTGACAACAGATTTTGATTATCATGTCATGGTCATGTCAACTTGAAAGGTTAGCTGGTCTTTCGGAGACTGTCAAAAGGTGAGATACCTATAAAGTAGGAGAACCATCTGATGGCTTGGTACTCCCCTTTCAGTGTAATTTTTTTAAGGGGGGGTTCAGTCCTTTGGGTAGTCAGAAATAGTCAGTTCTGGACCTGTTCTCAAGCTGGTGGGGTACAAACGAGGACAAGGGCAGATTTTAGTCAAACCTTTTTGGTTTTTGGACACCAAAGACCCTTTCATGCAACTAACTATGATGTTATTTATTGGTGTTTTATTTACTTATTGTTAATTTGCACTATTAATTGTTTTGTGGTTAACTAAAGGGCATTGGATGTGGTCATAATCTCCACTACTCTTGACCACATGACTAAGATGTATTGGTCCTACAGGACTTCTCCTCTGCCTCTAAAGGGGTAATCTGCAGAAATACCTCCCTATTCAGTTTCATAGTGCAGAAATGTTAAAGTGGAACTATAGTAGAAACAATTTTTTTTTCATTTTAGATAGAGCATGGAAAGGTTATAACCCCTGTCAGAATTTTTTTTTTTTGCTGTTTGTGTCCCATTGCAGAGATTTCCCTTCACTTCTTGTCCCATAGCCAAACAGGAAGTGAGAAGAAATCCCTACAAATTAAGGAACTTTCTTAGGGACCACCAGGTCACCAGAACTAGTGTCCCCTTTGGAAGATTTCCCCTCTATTACTTTTCTGGGGACACCCCAGAATCTGGGATTTTCTTTACTTTCACCTTCAATAATAATGGTAAATAGAACAAATAGAGAGTATGAATCTCCCTAACGGTGACACACACTGCAATAAAAACATGACAGGTGTTATAATCCCTCTCTACTCCATCCAAAAGTAAAAAAAATTTTTTGCCTTTATTTCTATTTTAAGGACAGTTCTCTCCATGCTGGTCCAGGCGTTGGTCATCAGTGCGTTGCGTTGTGTTCTTATGGATTACTTGAGTATGGATAGATTTACTTCCTACCTACACTGACTGTTGAGGAATGTTTGAGGAAACAACAATTTTTACTATCTGTCTTTCTATTTTGCTATTATTTTATTTCAAAATTATTACTGAAAATAATTGTGTTGTATAACAGTAGATGGTTCAAAAAATTACCTTCCCTTGGTTTCAAAATATTCTACGTATGCAACGTATTGATTATGCTAATGTACCCTGAGCTGTAGCTGTATATTTTTTGCAGGGGTTCCCCAGAACCTGGGTATTACTTCAAGGGTTACACACGTTGAAAAAAGTGGTCTCCTGGGGCTGATGACCTAACATCCAATATGGTGGTGCCCAGCAGCTGCCTCAGAGCGTTGGGATAAATACATTCACAAAATACATTAAATTCACATGTGATCTTATGGGAAAATTTAGGTCAAAATTAACGGTTTGGCAACAAAGTTAAAAACTTGCCTACCATTTTTACTCCTTCCTGCCCAGACCAATTTTCAGCATTCAAATCTTTCGCACTTTGAATGACAATTGTGTGGTCATGCAACACTGTACCTGTATAACATTTTAATCCTTTTTTCACACAAATAGAGATTTCTTTTGGTGGTATTGCTAAACAAAAAAAAAAAAAAAAAGACTTAGAAAGAAAGACTTAAAAAAAAAAAAAAAAAAAAAAAAAAGGTTTTTCTTAGTTTCTATTATAACATTTTGCAAGCAGGTAATTTTTCTCCTTCGATGATGTGCGCTGATGATGCTGTACTGATGGGCACTGATAGATGCACTGATGGGCACTGATGAGGTGGTACTGATAGGCTGCACTGATGGGCACTGATAGGTTGCACTGATGGGCACTGATGAGATGGCACTTGTGGGCACCGATGAGGCTGCACTGATATGTAGCACTGATGGGCACTGATAGTTGGCAATGATGGGCACTAAAAGGCATCACTGATGGGCACCAATAGGCAGCACTAAAGGGCACTGATAGGCAGCACTGATGGGCACTGATTGGCAACACTGATGGGCACTGACTGTCAGCACTGATGGATACTGACTGGCAGTACTGATGTTAACTGTTTGGCATTTAATAGGCAGCACTGATGGGCACCAATAGGCATCACTAAAGGGCACTGATAGGCAGCACTGACGGGCACTAATTGGCAACACTGATGGGCACTGACTGTCAGCACTGATGTATACTGACTGGCAGCACTGATGTAAACTGTTTGGCATTTAATAGGCAGCACTGATGGGCACTGTTGGGCTGCACTGATAATCAGTGCCTTGATTATCAGTGTAGATGTCTCCTTTCACAGTTGTCGGTTGTTGGCCGATTGCACTGTAGCCAGAACTTGGCTATAGCGAGGTTGGCAAGTGGTTAAGGAAGCGTATTTATTAAAGTGGGCTGCCAATGCACCAAAACAGATTGAAAATAAGACATGCACCATTTTAATAACATTGCCCCACACTGCAACGTATGGTAATGTATTCCACTTTGCTCACCAGAACCCGACACTGTCAGTTCACAGAAGATGACCCTTAGCTATAAACTCCTTGCCGACGCAGTAACACATATATTCAGCGTCCAGGAGTTGAGCTTTAAACTTCGGCTCCACGTAAATGTGCTCTTACCAAGAGCCCTGGGTCTCATACTAACGATCAGGAACTGGGACTCCCAGTTCCCAGTCACCATATGGCTGTGATAGCCTCTGATTGGCTATCACAGTGATCAGTCACTGTGTGAGCTGCCATGTGTTTTCTTTCTCCTCTGAATGGAGAGAACAATATATTGTATCTTTCTCTCCTTGCAGGGGACATGAAACGTGTCAACCAAAAAAGTGTGTTGAAAAAAAAAAGGAAAATAAAGGAAAAATTAGCTAGAGAAGATTGATCTATGTCAATGTCAAGGTTAGTGTTAAGGCCAAGGTAAAGGCCAAAAGTCAAGACCAGGGTCAAAGGTCATGTTTAACGGTAAGGGTCAGTACATTTTGGATATGACTTTGAAATAAACTGCATTTTTTAAATTATTATCATTGTCAGTTAATGCCAGTATGTTCTAACTAGGATAAAAAAAAAATTAGCAGGAAAATGTATTTTGGGTTGTTCTTTAGTGGTATGTTATCCACTTGCCATCCTGAGGATTTATCCCCTTTCAATTGATAATTGCGCGGGCATGCAATGTTGTACCCAAACAAAATTTATGTCCTTTTTCACACAAATAGAGCTTTCTTTTGGTGCCTTTGATCACCTGTGTGCTTTTTTTTCGCACTATAAACAAAAAAAGACTAAATATTTTTTTACTTTCGGCTATAAAAAAAATATATAGCAAACTCAAAGTCAGTCATAAATTTAGGCCAAAATGATTTTGCTGCATGTTTTTGGTAAAAAAAATCACAATAAGTGTATATTGATTGGTTTGTGTGAGAGTTATAGCGTCTACAAACTATGGTATAAATACTGCAATTTAAGCCATTTTATTGCTATACAGCGCTACACTAGTTTAAATGACAATTGCACAGTCATGCAATACGGTACATAAATGAAATGTACGTCCTTTTTTTCACACATATCCTTCAGTGGTATTTGATCATCTGTGCGCTTTTTATGTTTGACGCTATAAACAAAAAATGTTTTGAAAAATTTTTTTTTTTTTTTTTTTTAAAACAATATTTTCTCATTTCTGTTATAAAAAATATCCAAAAAACTCAAATGTCATCATAAATGTAGGCCAACATGTATTCTGTTACATGTTTTTGGTTAAAAAAAATCCCAATAAGTGTATGTTGATTGCTTTGTGTGAAAGTTATAGTGTCTACAAACTATGGTATAGATAATGGAATTTACATAGCTTTTACTTTCTGACTGCCCATCACATTTCTTGAGGTGCTAAAATGCCAGGACAGTACAAACATCCCCAAATGACCCCTTTTCGGAAAGTAGACACTCTCTAAGTTATCTGCTGAAAGGCATATTGAGTCCATGGAAGATTCATTTTTTTTCCACAAGTTTTCGAAAATGACAAAAAAATTTTTTTTTAACACAAATTTGCCATTTAAATTATATATTTCTCGCACAAGCCATGGGTATATGTGGAATTGCACCCCAAAATACATTCTGCTACTTCTACTGAGTATGGGGATACCACATGTGTGAGACTTTTTGGGAGCCTAGCCACATACAGGAGCCTGAAATCCAATGACCATTTTGAAAGCCTGAAGGTGCGTAACTTCCTCATTTCACTTCCTCAATACCTATCACAGTTTCGGAGGCCCTGAAATGCCAGGATAGCACCAACCCCCCCCCCCCCCCCAAATTACCCCTTTTTGGAAAGTAGACACCCCAAGGAATTTAAAAAGAGGC